TTGAGGTGGGAAAGGCAAGGTTTTTTTTTACTTTTCTTCTCCTAGTTCTAACTTGGCTCTCAAAAGAACACTGGGAGTTGGGAAGCACTGGAGTATGGACCTTTATTCTGGTGAGACTCTTATTCTGGTGAGACTGTACATGGTTTGAACTCTCTTCTTCGCCAGCTCTTCCATTTGTCTGGTAAAAAGCCCTTGGGATGCTAGAAATTTGCGTGGTACTAACTCTTGTGTTTTTGGGGTTCTATCTGGCCTGGATTTTCGTGGAAGGACTTGGTGAATAATTTAAGAGCTGTGGTGCATCAAAGTTGAAATTTAAACTGTTAATCTAAAAACTGTCTTAGTTATTGTAACATAAAGACTGGGGGAAGGTATAGGTGGTTGATAGTGGGTTTTGAATTTGGGTTGATTGAATAATGGCTGCAAAAAAACCTAAACCCCAAACCAGGAACCTCCCCATCCCAAATATCAGCATTAGGGAAACTAACCTCCCGGGAATCAGAAAAATCAGATAAAGAATGGCAAATAACCATGCAGAGCCTGCTGACGACAGGGTTTGATCAAATAAACCAACGTCTGACACAAATGACAAGTCAAATGGCCCATATGCAGGCGGAGCTAACCGAGACAAAGGAGCAAATAACGCAAATTAAAACCAAGACGCAAGATACAGAAATAAGGTTTTAAGAGCCTCACAAGAAAAACAATTGACAATAGAAGATAAGAAAATCAACGTCTGAAAACACATCCCTTGGCAAGTGAGACAGAGAAGAAAGGAATATACCACTTTGGTACAGCTACTCCAACAAAATGGAATCTCATATAGATGGCTAACACCAGAAGGGCTATTTTTTTCGGATTGACACACAGAGATACAATATGACGTCTCCGATGAAAGCACGAGATTTCATAGAAAAAAATGAGAAGAAGCTGAAAAAACCAGGTGACAAGGAACCAGAAGAAAGACCTCGAGAGGAGCAAATGCAACCATCACAACCAGAATCAGACACTGAATCAGAAGAACAAGAAACAAACGAGCCAAGATGCACTAGAAGCATGATGAAGAAAAAACAAAAAGATAGTAATCCCAAACAAGATGTCTAGAAAACAAATGAAGATTATATCAGTAAATGTAAATGGCTTAAACTCACCCCAAAAGTGAAAAAGATCTTTCTACAACTGCAGAAACAGAAATTTGATGTTATTTGCATCCAGGAAACTCATGTGAAAAGAAAGGATTTGAAATTATTAGAATGGTCAAGATTAGGAAAACTATTTGTGGCTTCAGACATGAGCAAGAAGAAGAAAGGAGTAGCTATCTATATTAAGAAGGAATGGGAACCCTGCTTGATATTTGCCTCAGAGGACGGAAGGATAGTAATGGTGGAAATTCAAAGAGAATCCAAGAAATTGCTAATAGTCAATGTTTACGCACCAAATGGAAATCAGGAAAAAAATTTTATAAACAACTGCAACAAGAATTGGCAAATAAAGACTATGATCATTACTGTGTAATTGGAAATTTTAATGCCATCTTTGACAGAGAAATAGACACAAAATCAGAAAAAATAAGTAAAAAGAAGAGAAACATGATACCAAGAAATTTTTTACAACTAACAGAAGAATTAAATATGGTAGATGCATGGAGAACATGTAATCCAAAGACAAGAGACTATACCTTCTAGTCCAATAGGCATAAATCATGGTCAAGGATTTTTTCGAGAATGCAAACAAACCGGGAAGATGGTTAGCATACAAATTAAGGAAAGAGAAGGAGAAGACAATAATCCGAACTTTGAAAGATGAAAAGGGAATAGATAAATTCAAACAGGAAGAAATAAAAAAAATCGCTGAAGATTTTTATTGGAAGTTACACGAGAAAAAAGAAGTGGATAGACGAACCCAGGAAGAATATATATTAAGGAATAACAACATGGAATTGACTAAAGAACAAATTCAGTCCTTAAATGAGCCCATAGCGTATGCAGAAATTATAGAAGCCCTTAAAAAACAAAAAAACGGGAAAGCACCAGGTCCGGATGGTCTACCAGCAGAATATTATAAAGAATTGGAAGAGGTGCAACTTCAGCCATTTAAGAAGCTGTTAGAATGCGTTGAGGAGGAAGGGAAAATACCAACAACATGGACTGAAGCGACAATCTCTCTTATACATAAAGAAAATACAGAAGGTAAAGAAATACAAAATTATAGACCGATTTCATTGTTGAATGTGGACTATAAAATATATGTGACTATCTTGGCAACTAGAATGAGAAGAAACTTAACCCACTTGATACACCAAGATCAATCTGGGTTTCTTCCAAAAAGACAGATGAAGAATAATATAAGGATATTCCTAAATTCCCTGGAATATTATGAAGCACACCCGGAGAAACAGATGGCCATGATATTCTTGGATGTGGAGAAAGCTTTCGATAATCTTGACTGGAATTTTCTGATATATACGTTGGAAACACTGCAGGTTGGAGAAAGATTTATGAAACTAATTAAACAATATATACTGAACAAAAGGCGAAAATAAGAGTTAATGGCGAGTTATCAAAAGAAATGCAAATACAGAAAGGTAGTAGACAGGGTGTCCACTGTCCCCACTCCTATTTATTTTGGAAATACTAAACGAACAAATTAGAAATAAAAAGGAACTTAAAGGATTAAAAGTAAAATGTCAAGTCTACAAACTTCAGGCCTTTGCGGATGATTTAGTCATCATACTGGAAGAACCACTGGATTCAATAAAAAACCTGATGGCAGTGTTAAAAATTTTTGGTGACATGGCAGGAATGAGAATAAATCAAAAGAAGACCAAAATACTTACCAAAAATATGAGAGAAGAGAAACGACGAAAGTTAATAGAGAAGACGAACTTCCAAGAGGATAAGAAAATTCAATATACAGTGGTGCCTCGCACAGCGAGGTTAATCCGTTCCGGATTAAAAGGCTCCTTTACTCACCGTTCAGCGATGTTCCTCTATGGCCGGCAGCCATTTTCGCGCCCTCCCCTCGTTTAACGAGGGCGCGAAAACGCTGCGCGCGGCCATTTTGGGGCTTCCGGTGGCCATTTTGTAGCTGCCGAACAGATGATCGGCGGGGTGCAAAGCGAAGGTCGGTAAGCGAACCGCTTACCGACCTTCGCTCTGCGATTTTCGCCCTATGCAGGCACCGTTTTGCGATCGCATTTGCGATCGCAAAACTGGCCTTGTAGAGCGAATTCATCGCTTTACGAGGCGCCGTTGTGCGAGGCACCACTGTATAGGAATACAAATTACAAAGAAGACAAGCACACTATTTAAAGATAACTACCTGAAATTAATGAAGGAGATACAGAACAATTTGGAGAAATGAGATAAAATACAACTATCGTTGCTGGGAAGAATTGCGGCGATTAAAATGACCATCTTGCCAAAAATTTTATTTTTATTTCAGTCAATTCCCATCATATTAAAAAAGTAAGATATCAAGATTTATTAAAAAAGGATGGTGAACTATGGTCTAAAGAGGAGCTAGAGTCACAGAATGTCTATATAGATTGGTGGCCTAGAGCACAGCTAGAATCTAGATATACAAAAGATAAAATAGAAGGTTTCTACTCAGAGCAAATGATTTTTGAAAAACTTTTACTGGGTTCAAAAGAACAAATTGTTAAGAAAATGTATAATTGTATGCTGGAAATAAAAATGCAAGATGAAACAGTTAAGGAATGTATGATTAAGTGGGCACAAAACATAGGGCATAATATTGATATTGATCAGTGGCTGAAAATATGGCAAAATAACATAAAGCTTACAAGATCGGTTAATTTTAAAGAGAATATGTATAAGATGTTTTATAGGTGGCACATGACCCCAGAAAAATAGTCAAATATGTATACAGATGTATCTTTATTTATTTATTTATTTATTTATTTATTGGACTTATATACCGCCCCAAAGCGCTACAAGCACTCTCCGGGCGGTTTACAATTTTTTTTTAATTATACAGGCTACACATCAAATAAGTGTTGGAAATGTGAAACACAAGTGGGAAGTTATTATCATATGTGGTGGTCATGTGGAGTAGCGAAAAAATACTGGAAAAGAGTACATGCTATGTTACAACAAATATTGCTCTGTAAGGTAGCATTAACCCCAGAATTGTTTTTACTGAGTATGATACCCGATAATATAGATAAGTCAAAGGAATACATCGTTATATATATTGTTATGGCAGCTAGAATTATATATGCTAGAAATTGGAAAGGTCCGACGGTACCAAAACAAGAAGATCTCATTGAAACGATACGGGAAATAGCTGAAATGGATATCTTATCAGAAGTCATGAAAGATCAACCCCTGCAAAAGGCAACAGAAAGATGAGATCTATTTAACAAGTGGACTGAATCAACAGGCAGCAGCTGAATAACACATATATTGAAATGAGAACTTTATCTACAAGGCAGAAAAAATAGAATAACTTAAAATCTTGATATGGCAATAGGTATAGATTGGATATCAGTATGTTATTGTATCCCCTCTTCCTCTTCAATCCCAACTCCCTTTTTCCTTTTGTCACCCCTCATGTTAAAAAATAAAAAAATTGAAAAAAATACTATGTTTGGGTGTGAAAGCTGGATAGTGAAGAAAGATGACAAGAAAAAATTTGATTCATTTGAAATGTGGTACTGGAAGAGAGCTTTGTGGATATCTTCTACTAGTAAATGTTTTGGATTTCATGCAGGTGGCATGTATGAATGGGCTTCTGGATTATTTGAAAAGAAATTAATGTAATTTACTTACTAGTCATATTTAAGCATTTCCTCTGCAGTATCTGGTTTATATTCTTAGTCTGAATCCAAACTTTAGAGTGATTATGTTGGTTCAGCAACATAGTATTTTACTATGTATTTTACATTGTGGTGTACCAAAAAGTGTCATTTTCCCCCAAGAAGATGTAAAGCTCTCAAATAGAATTAATTTATTTTCTTCTATGTCCCTTTTTTATTCCAGCATCTGAACCCAATCTCAAATTACGATCTAGATTGAAGCAGAAGGTTGCTGAAAGACGTAGCAGCCCATTGTTACGAAGAAAAGATGGCCCTGTAGTTACAGCTCTTAAAAAGCGTCCATTAGATGTCACAGGTAGGTTGTCGAGGTAACAGTCAATTTTATACCTTTAATTCACAAGTTTTGAAAAATAAATTATATTAACATGTCTCCAGAGTAAGACAGTTGTGATTATTGCCACTCTTGTTCATTCTGGTTTTTGATGAATAGTGACCATCTTTTGGCAGAATTACCTGACCTAACTTCCCAGATTAGTCCATTTGAAATGTGTGGCTGATATAAAGGCTACGAGTAGTCAATTTTATACCTTTAATTCACAAGTTTTGAAAAATAAATTATATTAACATGTCTCCAGAGTAAGACAGTTGTGATTATTGCCACTCTTGTTCATTCTGGTTTTTGATGAATAGTGACCATCTTTTGGCAGAATTACCTGACCTAACTTCCCAGATTAGTCCATTTGAAATGTGTGGCTGATATAAAGGCTACGAGTTGCCATATTTCTGGAGGCAAAAATGAAGAAACTGAGGCTCTCCAATTTTGGGCCCATGATGAAAAGGCAAATTTGTTAGAAAAGAGAATAATGCTGGGAAAAGTTGAAGGCAGCAGAAAAAAAGGAAGGCCAAAAATGAGATGGATTTACTCCATCAAGGAGTCCGAAAGCTTATGTGTTCAAGAGCTGAGCAGGACTGTTGAGATCACTCATTGGAGATCAGTAGTCATGGGGTTTCCGTAAGTTGGAGGTGACTGATTTATTTATTTAACTTATATGCAGCCCATACTACCCAAAGGTCTCCAGGCAGCTTACAACAATTTAAATACAGTAAAAAGGATAAAACAATTAAAATGCAACTAAAATACAGTGCTGTAAAAATTGCCATCAGGACCCACAGTTGATATTATTTCAGTTAAAAACCTTTTGGAACAGGAAGGTTATGACCTGGCACCAAAATGTCATCAACATCAGCTCCAGATGAATCTCACTTGGGATGGCGTTCCATACACTGGGGGCAGCTGCCGAAAAGGCCCTTTGTCTACAAGCCATCCCTCTTACCTTCTTGAGGGATGGCTCTTTCAGGAGGGCCCCCTGGCTAGATATTAACTGCCGCATAGGTTCATATGGAAGGAGGCGGTCCTTCAGGTATCCAGAGCCCAAGCCGTTTAGGGCTTTATATGTCAAAACAAGCACTTTGAATTAGGCCTGGGCAGAGACTGGTAGCCAAAGTAATTTGAACAGAATTGGCCTGATGTGTTCCCTAGCAGCCCCAGCACTCAGCAGCCACAAAGCTCGATTCTAAACCAGTTGCAGTCGCCGAATCATTTTCAAAGGCAGTCCCACATACAGCACACTGCAGTAATCTATACGGGATGTTACCAGTGCATGCGAAACTGTTATGAGACTTTGCTCGTCCAGGTAGGGCCGTAGCTGGTATAATTTCCATAGCTGAAGGAAGGCGCTCCTGACTTGATGGCATGTAACAAGAACAGCAGCAAATTGGATGATTTTTAAATGGATTATTTAAACTGAATGAGACAATGGAGAATAAGATTTTTAATGGCTGTAATTCATGAGTAATGCTGATGATCAGAAATGGCATGTGTTTCAGTATCACTTCTTAGAAGACAAGTATCAGAGAACTTCAATCTGATCAAGTCAGGGCTCGTATTTTCTTTAGAGGACTACAGTTTTTGTCATTGTTAATACATCAAAAATTTATCCAAGGATTAAGTTGCCCTTACTTGCTTTTTAGTAAATGTTTTGGATTTCATGCAGGTGGCATGTATGAATGGGCTTCTGGATTATTTGAAAAGAAATTAATGTAATTTACTTACTAGTCATATTTAAGCATTTCCTCTGCAGTATCTGGTTTATATTCTTAGTCTGAATCCAAACTTTAGAGTGATTATGTTGGTTCAGCAACATAGTATTTTACTATGTATTTTACATTGTGGTGTACCAAAAAGTGTCATTTTCCCCCAAGAAGATGTAAAGCTCTCAAATAGAATTAATTTATTTTCTTCTATGTCCCTTTTTTATTCCAGCATCTGAACCCAATCTCAAATTACGATCTAGATTGAAGCAGAAGGTTGCTGAAAGACGTAGCAGCCCATTGTTACGAAGAAAAGATGGCCCTGTAGTTACAGCTCTTAAAAAGCGTCCATTAGATGTCACAGGTAGGTTGTCGAGGTAACAGTCAATTTTATACCTTTAATTCACAAGTTTTGAAAAATAAATTATATTAACATGTCTCCAGAGTAAGACAGTTGTGATTATTGCCACTCTTGTTCATTCTGGTTTTTGAGGAATAGTGACCATCTTTTGGCAGAATTACCTGACCTAACTTCCCAGATTAGTCCATTTGAAATGTGTGGCTGATATAAAGGCTACGAGTTGCCATATTATATACACATGTGTATTTTTCCCCCCAGTATGGTACAGCAGTCAAAAAGCCAAGTTACAGCTGTGATTTCTAATGTTTTAAACGATGCAAATAGAGAAGTAAATTTCTGTGTATTAGAAATTGTTTCTTGACTTCTTTTTGCGTTGGTTTTTTTGTTAAATTTTCTAATAAATTGGCTTGTCTACTGATGCCAAGAAGTTACTGTATAATGCTTTGCATCTTGAGCACTTCATATACGTAGAGCCACTGGGTGCATTTAGATTATTTCTTCTGCAATTGGAAAAGGGTCTTTCCATTCATAGAAATGACTAAGAGGATATAGGAGTCTGGTCCTGCATGCCTAGAACTCTTCAAGTCACACAACATATATTGTAAACACAACCTATATTGCTTTATATTCTTGTTTTCATTTCCTGTTTCATTAAGCATGGCAGGAGATACAGTAAATCATACTTAGCACTTATTACTTTATAGTAACTAGAAATAACAGTGTAATATGTGAATGGTTTCAAATATGTTTTAGACTCGGCATGCAACAGTGCTCCAGGATCTGGCCCTAGTTCTCCAAACAATAGCTCCAGTAATATAAGTGCTGAGAATGGAATTACTACATCAGTTGCAAATATTCAAGCAGAGGTAAGATGCACTGCTTTTGTTAATCTGAATTTATTTCTTCGTAGTATAGTCAATGATAATATATATTATGGAGAATGAATATTTTATTTCAGATGTTGCCAGCTTTTAAAATTGCAATTGAAAAATATAAAGAATCTGTGCACACTTCTATTTTTTGTCATTGCTTATTGTAATATCTGTTGGGTTTCTCCTCAGGTAGGGTAGCCTGGAAAAGAGAAGGCTAAGAGATGATGTGATAGCCATCTTAAGTACTTGGAGGGTTGTCAAGTGGAAGATGGAACAAGCTTTTGTTCTTTTGGTTTCTGTGAATGACATAATTGGGCTCCTGTGCCTACCCAGAGACTTTCTTCAGAACATTCCAGCACTGAGAAGTTTTGACAGTAGCAGCACTATGCCCTCCACCATGCATGCTCAGTGTGCCAAATCAATTCCCCTCAGTTCCTTTTCATCTGCCACAAGAGCAGCTTCTCAGGGACATTATTTTGTAGCTGAGTATTCTTTTTTGCTTTTTATTTTATAATTTTAAGCATTTTTACCTTGTGTTTGTACCCAGTTCCTTTCATCATCTTTCTGCTTCTTCTTTATTAGTTAAGAAGAGAAAATCCTTACTACTGACTGACCTTCCTTTTCAGTTGACCAGTCACAGCCTGGAGCTGTGGCCTCCCTCTGTAGTGCTTTTCAAGAAGTGCACAGACTGTGATGAAGCTTGGCCCCATGGACCAACACACTTGCTGTTTGTTTTGCTTGTGTAAATCCCACTTTACCTAGTCCTGCTCTGGCTGCAGAAGATTTACTAAGCAGGGATTCTGCCTTTATCAGTCCAAGCTTAGAGACTTCCACTGGGAGAGTTCACTGACAGCAGCAAAGCAGGTGGACTGGCATCCCCTACCAAGTCACTGCCTAAAACCTGGGACTTGGTATTAAGCTGCTCAGTACTGAGTGCTCATTCTGGATCAAAGTCTGTGCCAGTGCCTTCAATGTCAGCAAGCTACTGCCTCCCCCTTGGGACAGGAGGCATAGACTTGTCCAGGAGCCATAGACTTCCGAAGCAGAAGGTTGCTGAAAGACGTAGCAGCCCATTGTTACGAAGAAAAGATGGTCCTGTAGTTACAGCTCTTAAAAAGCGTCCATTAGATGTCACAGGTAGGTTGTCGAGGTAACAGTCAATTTTATACCTTTAATTCACAAGTTTTGAAAAATAAATTATATTAACATGTTTCCAGAGTAAGACAGTTGTGATTATTGCCACTCTTGTTCATTCTGGTTTTTGATGAATAGTGACCATCTTTTGGCAGAATTACCTGACCTAACTTCCCAGATTAGTCCATTTGAAATGTGTGGCTGATATAAAGGCTACGAGTTGCCATATTATATACACATGTGTATTTTTTCCCCCCAGTATGGTACAGCAGTCAAAAAGCCAAGTTACAGCTGTGATTTCTAATGTTTTAAACGATGCAAATAGAGAAGTAAATTTCTGTGTATTAGAAATTGTTTCTTGACTTCTTTTTGCGTTGGTTTTTTTGTTAAATTTTCTAATAAATTGGCTTGTCTACTGATGCCAAGAAGTTACTGTATAATGCTTTGCATCTTGAGCACTTCATATACGTAGAGCCACTGGGTGCATTTAGATTATTTCTTCTGCAATTGGAAAAGGGTCTTTCCATTCATAGAAATGACTAAGAGGATATAGGAGTCTGGTCCTGCATGCCTAGAACTCTTCAAGTCACACAACATATATTGTAAACACAACCTATATTGCTTTATATTCTTGTTTTCATTTCCTGTTTCATTAAGCATGGCAGGAGATACAGTAAATCATACTTAGCACTTATTACTTTATAGTAACTAGAAATAACAGTGTAATATGTGAATGGTTTCAAATATGTTTTAGACTCGGCATGCAACAGTGCTCCAGGATCTGGCCCTAGTTCTCCAAACAATAGCTCCAGTAATATAAGTGCTGAGAATGGAATTACTACATCAGTTGCAAATATTCAAGCAGAGGTAAGATGCACTGCTTTTGTTAATCTGAATTTATTTCTTCGTAGTATAGTCAATGATAATATATATTATGGAGAATGAATATTTTATTTCAGATGTTGCCAGCTTTTAAAATTGCAATTGAAAAATATAAAGAATCTGTGCACACTTCTATTTTTTGTCATTGCTTATTGTAATATCTGTTGGGTTTCTCCTCAGGTAGGGTAGCCTGGAAAAGAGAAGGCTAAGAGATGATGTGATAGCCATCTTAAGTACTTGGAGGGTTGTCAAGTGGAAGATGGAACAAGCTTTTGTTCTTTTGGTTTCTGTGAATGACATAATTGGGCTCCTGTGCCTACCCAGAGACTTTCTTCAGAACATTCCAGCACTGAGAAGTTTTGACAGTAGCAGCACTATGCCCTCCACCATGCATGCTCAGTGTGCCAAATCAATTCCCCTCAGTTCCTTTTCATCTGCCACAAGAGCAGCTTCTCAGGGACATTATTTTGTAGCTGAGTATTCTTTTTTGCTTTTTATTTTATAATTTTAAGCATTTTTACCTTGTGTTTGTACCCAGTTCCTTTCATCATCTTTCTGCTTCTTCTTTATTAGTTAAGAAGAGAAAATCCTTACTACTGACTGACCTTCCTTTTCAGTTGACCAGTCACAGCCTGGAGCTGTGGCCTCCCTCTGTAGTGCTTTTCAAGAAGTGCACAGACTGTGATGAAGCTTGGCCCCATGGACCAACACACTTGCTGTTTGTTTTGCTTGTGTAAATCCCACTTTACCTAGTCCTGCTCTGGCTGCAGAAGATTTACTAAGCAGGGATTCTGCCTTTATCAGTCCAAGCTTAGAGACTTCACTGGGAGAGTTCACTGACAACAGCAAAGCAGGTGGACTGGCATCCCCTACCAAGTCACTGCCTAAAACCTGGGACTTGGTATTAAGCTGCTCAGTACTGAGTGCTCATTCTGGATCAAAGTCTGTGCCAGTGCCTTCAATGTCAGCAAGCTACTGCCTCCCCCTTGGGACAGGAGGCATAGACTTGTCCAGGAGCCATAGACTTCCCACTAGGAAAGAGACCTTGAAATCTAAGAAAGGTAAACATAAAAAATCTTCATTTGTGCTTGATGATCAGTCCAGTGTGACATAAACATCTATCCCACCAGTGTTGCAGACTCCCCTTACTTCTTTACCAGAATCTGTCTTGACCTCAGATTGAATAACTCTCTTTTCTCTGCTACTTTGCAGTTCACTGGTATTGACTCTTGGCAGTTCCAATCCCCAAGTTTTCTCCCCAGCCTGCTGACCTATCAGTACTAGACATTAGATAGGAAATGACACAGAAACTGTTTTCTCCATTGCATCCAGACCAATCAATTTCTCAGGCTGTTTTGGTATAGAATTCAGCATAGCTAGCAAACTTTGAATCCAGCTCCACACATGGCCTTCAAACATACCTTCTGAAGACATGATCTACCCTGGCTCCATCGACAGGAACATCTGAGATTGAACTCCCATCAGAGCTACCATCTATCTTTGCAGAAGTTAGTCTCTCCTTGACTGCCTTGGTACAGAAAACAATCCTCCCTGTCAGGGTCCTCAGACTCCTTCTGATCAACACTCTGTTCAGGATCAGTGGATTCCAACATGCTTGTAACAGGATCACTGTCTGCAACACAGTGACAATTGGTCCTGATACCACTTGTAGTCACTGGTTGCACATTCACACTGTTAAGATACTCATCTCAGAATTGCCAGTTATACTCTTGGAACAGGGCAATATCACTGTGATTGCTTGCTCAAATACCTGGCATCTCATCAGGATCAGAGCCCTTATGTAGAAGATTGCCTTCGCCAATTTTGGTCTCCCTCTAGAGAGGACTTACAGAACTGTTACCATCAATCTTGCTCCTTCCTTTCTCGATCTCAATGGCTTCTTCTGCCGCTATTGGGAGAGAATTCTCTTGACATCAGTACCTATCAGATTCAAAAGAAGGTTTCTACCAAGCCTTCAAGGAGCGCCTACTGTTCCCTCCACTATCAATTTACTCACAGAGTCAGGTAGCCTCTTCTCTTCCACTCTACCAGATATTGGTATTACACTCCTTGGTGCCCTCAAGCTTGGGACACCTTTCACCTCATGCACATTATGACACATTGTTCGGCATTGACCAGTCCTCCTCTTCCCATTTAGATAATTCCACTGTTAGGCTTTGGAAACCTTTGTACAATTTTTGCAGTTCCTCCCTAGAGAGCAAGGCCCCTAGCCCTTTCTTTTTAGGCAGTCCATCAAATCAACTCACGTAGTGTTGCGGACTGTGCAACTAAAGTAATTGCTGGCGTGGTCGCCCTCAGAGACACACCTGGCTCAGAACATCTTCTTTTAGTAAGGATGTGAAGGCTTGAATTGAGGACATGGTATTCAAACATGAGGACTTCTTCAGTGCCGTACCCGATGAGTTGATAGATCAGTTGATGAAGTTGAGAACTACAGTAAAGAAAATAGACCTTTGTGCTCAACAACAATCATTTAATGTCTCCAGAAAACAGTGGAAAAAAATAAATGTTCCCAGTATCCTTGTATAAGGTCACTAGTACTGATATATCATTTGGACACACACTTGAAACTACTGGGCTGATCCAATTCAATTTCACAATCCAACAGTGAGAGCAGACATATACATAGATCTTCAGTCACTGCATCACATGGTATGGAGGATTTAGCGTCAGTCTTTCAATAAAAACAGTGGTTGGTGTTTCCTATAGGCTCTCTGCACCTGCCTCATTAGCTATGATGGAAGGCATTTGAACTGTTTGACACAGAGAAATGTGTTCTTCCCTAATGTTACAGCATTCTTCTGGAGTTTTTCACTTTGTTCAAAAACTGTCTTACGCTTTTTCATCCAAATGCCATTCCAAGATTGTTCCAGGTTAATTGTTTCTTTATTGTCTTTTTAAGAGGTATTTTAATTTTAAGAGCCTCTAACGTTTAATTGTACCTCTACATCCTCTAT